GGCCCCGAGCGGAGCCCCGCGCTCAAGCGCGCCGAGGCGCGCCGCGGGGACCTGCACCTCCGCCTGGAGGACCACGTGCCTGTCGTCATTGGCCTTACGCCTCAGGACTACATCCAGTATACTGTGCCTTTGGACGAGGGGATGTACCCCCTGGAGGGGTCGCGCAGCTGCTGTCTGGACAGCTCCTCCCCCATGGAGGTCTCCGCGGGGCCGCCCCAAGGGGCAGGGGGCGCCCCCTCGGAGGGCGAGAATCAGGGAGACCAGGACCTGGGCGTGGCCCCGGAGCTGTGCGCGGGCCCGCCGGTGGACGGCGTGTTGATCGGCACCGCGGGGGTGATGCTGCAGAGCCCCCGGGCGGGGCCCAGCGACGCGCCCCCACTCTCACCGTTGCTACCTCCAATGCAGACGAATCCAATCCAAAGGAACTTGGGCGGGCTGGGCGGCCCCGACGCCCCCGGGGCGGACAGCGTGCGCTGTCATTTGAACTTCGACCCCACCTCGGCGCCGGGGGTGGCCAGAGTTTACGACTCGGTGCAGAGCAGCGGCCCCATGGTGGTGACCAGCCTGACGGAGGAGCTGAAAAAGCTGGCCAAGCAGGGCTGGTACTGGGGGCCCATCACCCGCTGGGAGGCGGAGGGGAAGCTGGCCGACGTGCCCGACGGGTCCTTCCTGGTCCGGGACAGTTCTGATGACCGGTATCTCTTAAGCTTGAGCTTTCGCTCCCACGGCAAGACGCTGCACACCCGGATCGAGCACTCCAACGGCAGGTTCAGCTTCTACGAGCAGCCCGACGTGGAAGGACACACGTCCATCGTGGACCTGATCGAGCACTCAGTCAGGGACTCTGAGAACGGAGCGTTCTGTTACTCGCGGTCGCGCCTGCCGGGCTCGGCCACCTACCCGGTGCGGCTGACCAGCCCGGTGTCCCGCTTCATGCAGGTGCGCTCCCTGCAGTACCTGTGCCGCTTCGTCATCCGCCAGTACACCCGCATAGACCTGATCCAGAAACTGCCTTTGCCCAACAAAATGAAGGATTATCTGCAGGAGAAGCACTACTGAGAGCATTTGAGAACTCTGTACCTGGCACTTCGGGAATGAGGAAAAAGAGATGGAAATACAGTTTACAAACTTCCATTGCTGTCAGAGTCGTTTGCTGCCGTATGAGTTCAGTTTTATGTGTAAGAGTGATCAGCTCGTTTAGGAGTGGGGAAGGTCGGCACGGTGTCTTGGGTTCGTTTTGGTTCCTTAAGAAGGGAAGTCTTGAGGTTTTAGAAGTGTGAATTGTCTTCATCAATGTGCAAATAATCACAATGTGAACGACCAGATTCTCCTCCCCCCGCCCCCGTCCTCTGCTGCTATCCACTGTGATTTTTATGCATTAGAAGCAAAAAGCACATTTCGTGTGTTCAACCCTCTGAAAAGTGGAATGAAGCTTACAGAATGACAGTGGTTGTTTGTTCCTCTAAATGGCCCGTTTGGAAAGCTAGTGTTAAGTGAGGCGCTTGTGTGATAAGATACAAAACACACGTAACTCTGAAAAGGATTTTCATTTCCTAGTGTAGATTTGTGCCCCACTACGAGTCGACGTAACCGTGGGCAGCGGAACGGGTCACAGGCCCACTCGGTGCCCTTCCCAGGTCTCCGCTAGCTTTTAGGCTGTGCTGATTTCTTGGATGTGAAAAGTCAGATTTTTCTGTGGCCTTCATTTTCATCTCTTAGTTTTTCTAGTTTAAAAAATGGCCTTATATTTTTAAGTCGTAACAGCATACCACCAACTTGGAAATTGTTGCTTTTTTCTGTCATTAAACTGATGCAAATTGGCATAACCTATAAAGACTTAGGAGCTCAGAACTACTAAAGAAATACTAGGTGGTCTTAGTTTCTCCTGTGTTAGCAATTTTTTTGTGTGTTATCTATACTTTGTTTTGGTAAAATATTTTATCTGTTCAAAATATTTTATCCTAGTCCACATTTCCTTGGGTGAATTTGATTAGGGCTGATTTTCATAAATGGACTGATTCTTTAGACCATAAAGTTCATATACAAAATGTTAAGCCGGTTTGAATAGAAAGAAAACGTTCTTCAAGCAGTGAATTTTTCCCTTTTCTGTCGTCACTATTGAGATGTGCTAGATTTGAGCCTTTCATCCCCCTCCCAAGAAATCCAAAATTGGTGACTTTAGTTGAAAAGTTGTGGAAATTGTGGCGCACCCGTAAGAGAAGTATTAAAACCATATGTGACTCATGGAGGTCTCACTGCCTGCCATATGGACTGTCATTTAAAAATAGGTTTTCTGCTTGTTTCTTTTTAATTTAGTGAACAGTAAATTGGCATCATTAGTTCTTTTATCTCTTTGATTCAGTTGTTGGGGGCTGGGGACATTCGCCCCAGTATTTTTCAGTTGCTATTAAATGCGGTGTTTTGTGGCTGTGTGGTTCTTTAGTGTAGCGTTTTAGAATTGCCCTGTCCAGAAAATGCTTCCAGCTGCCCAGCTATAGAGGACACGTTTCTGTCTCCCATGAACTGTGTCATCTCATAACGTTTCTTCCTGTGTGGCTCAGTTCTGTGCTCTCACCGTGTGATACACGGTGAGGCTGTCTTAGGCAAACCTCACGGCTCTGTGAGAACCATCTCTGTGCCCCCGCTGTTCTCTGGTTTTTAGGGTCTCAGCTGCAGATCACCAAGAAAAGGCACAATGCCGTAATACCGAGCTAGGGCGTTTGGTACTTGCTCTTGCCGGAGGGTGGGTTGTACCTTCTCAGAGTCTCCCTTTCATGTTTTCGCCCGACGGAGTATGGAGTAAACTGTAATAATATAACGTACGTGTTCACTGTAAGCTGTTTGGATTAAAAACTATTACAGAGTTGTAAACTTGTTATCAAATTAATGCAAGACATTTAAACTATTTTTTTGCAAAACTATTTATTTTTAAAGCAACTTAGAATATATCTAGGGTGAGTTAAAAGCCCCTGTGCATCTACATTAGATGGCAGGTAGAGTCAGAGTCACTGTGCGTTGTTAATAAATGTTGAGACGGCTTCTCTGTCCGGGAGCACGTGCATGTGTCTTTGCGAGATCCCGGGGCACAGAGGTCTCTGGACTGCCCTGAAGCCCGCTGGACGTGGGCAGGACCTGCCCCCGCGTCTCTTCACGGCCCTCGTGTTAAATTTAGCCATTTGGTTTCAGCTTCAGATTATTCTCACCTCCACTTCCTGCTTTTTAAAACTGTACTTCGTGTTCTTATTTTGTGGATGGCAAGTCTTGCTGTTTTAATCAGAAAGCCATTTTTTTTTTTTTTTTGCGTGCTTTTGTATAATCGTCACTTAAAACCACCTATTCTAATTCAATCTGAAAGTGCTAGGGTTTGACTGGGTACTGATGACATCAAATAATCGGCAGGTGGCTCTTCACAGCCGCAGCGCATCGCGCGTGTCTCTGCTTCTGTGTAGAGGAGACGTGTGGCAGGCGTAGCACTCCGTGGCGTGGGGAAAAGAATCATGACGTTTCATGCAGATATAATTTCAGTAAATTTCTGGATCTTATTGAATGGTGGCTTCAATGACCTGGACGTCAACCTGTAAGCGATTTTTTTAAAGTTGTTTCTGCAAAGTAAAAAAAGCACGAAAACTGCATTCTCTTGTCACAATGAATGAATCAGAGGTTTTTGGTTTTTTGTTTTTAATCAAATACTTCCTCACAAGTCTGATGGAGGCAAGAAGCATGCCTGGGCTTTCTAGGACATTCTTATGCATTTTTTATAAATAATAAGAAACCTATAGAAAGTACTTGAAAAAAAATCTCACCGTTTCTCTTTCTAAGGAAAACTGTCCTCTTTCTACTTGGTGCAATAATAGGAAAACTTAGAAGGTCAAAATAGTGTATCACAGGAAATGATCATAGATCTAGAAATAGTGTCTTAAGAAACCAGCTACGTAAGACATCCACCTTGGTGATGAAGCGCCTGTGCAGAGGCCACGTGATTGCACAGAGGAAAGCAAGCGCTGTGTGTGTGCGGCCTAACTTCTGAGCCAGTGTTTCTGATAGAGGATGAAAGTCGCTGAAATCTCACACAGGCTGTATGCAGTGTCTGTCAGCTCTACACATCTCAACTTCCACCTTGACAGTGCTTTCAGAAATGCCTGTTTCAATCACTGTCCCTTTCTCATTGTGTATGAGCGATTCTTGCTCTATGAATGATCCACAATAATAATTTTAAATCTTAATAGCTTTTCATGGAATGTGAAGTCTTAATTTGAAAAAGAAATCACACTACCAGCAATAGACAGTTTTGTTGAATACTCTACAAGAACACTCACCAGATCCACAAGTAACTTTAAAATTCTAAAAGTATTGGTACGCTAGTAATCACAAATTTGATTTCTTTTAATACTTTTTTAATCCTGTAAAGATTTTTATAAGCATCCTTTTTATTAATCAGTCATAACATGGCAAATGCATAGTTGTTATTTCTGAAAAGTAATCCAAACTGTACATCCAGAGATGATGAAAAATTCTTATAGAATTTTGTAATAAGTATACATGTTGGGTTAAAGAAATTTTATAGTTGGAGTGCCATGGAATTAATACTTGCAATCCTAATTGCTGTAGTTTACACTTTTTCTGTATGTTTCAAATCAGGTGTGTACCATTTGTGCTGAGAACACCACAGAATGAATTATCCAAAGTCCATTGATTTTAATAAGTGTTTTTGGTTTGTAAACAAATTATAGTAATTTCTTGCACATTTTTGGAAATTAATTGTATAAGAATTTACGTATCTGCTTCTAGATACAGTGTGTAAATAAAAATTTCCTTGACAACGTCTGCCTCCTCGTCTCCTTGGTACCCAGAGACAAAGTCTGATTTTAACGCGCGTAGAGCTACCTCATTCTGGTTGTCCCATGACCTGGGCAGAGGCCAGAGGCCGGGGGCCAGCACATGTCAATAAAAACGCGAAAGTGAAATAAGGTCACTTGGGAGACAGACTGGTTAGGGTCAGCCGAGTGGCCGGAACCCTGAGCCTTCAGCCTTAAGGCTGGAGTGAATTGGGACAAGGTCTAAGCCAGGGCTAAAATTAACGCCGAAAAAGACACTGCAGACAGACTGGACTGCAAGGCACAGCGTTCGGACTGTGTTGATTTGAAAACCGCCCCTGCACGCCCCTCGGTGGACAAGGGTCGCCGCCCGAGTAGCGGTCGGAGCTTGCAGAGTTCTTAATCACCAGGAGGGTTAAACATTCGCTTTAGATTCTTTTTCTCACACCTTTCAACAAACTCTTTTCATCAGCTAATTCAGAGGTGAATCTCAGCTAGCTTGTTCGGAGCGTGTCACGAACAGCGGCCTGCTCGACTCCCTAACAGTGAGCTGTAGCCCCCAGAGAGTTAGTTGGCGGATCGTCTTCATTCCTAAGTTCCTTTTTTTTTTTTCTTGCCGGTGCATGAACTTTTTGAGTTTGATGATGATTCGTGGGGGGTTACGTGAAGATCTTTGGACTTTTCCTCCGACCTGCCCCTTACTAGTTCAAAATCACTTGGGCAGCTGCCAATTGTCGGTTGCACGTCCCCACTGAGCCGGCTTTCAGCTTGGACGTTCTGGAACGCGCCGTCGCTGTGCTCCCGTACTTGACCCCTCCCCAGTCCTGCCTGCCTAAGTTGGTTGCTCTTTGTTTTGATGAGAATCAAAGAAAACATATAAAGCAGGTCAGGATAAAGCTAGTTGTGTATGCCAGGGGACAGCAACGTGAGAAGAAAGCAGAACACACTTTAAGAATCCTCAGTGAAGTCAATCAATTATTTTTATGGAGCATTAAGATAAGGGGCAAGAAAGATGAGATCTGAATTACACTGGGCCTAGTACTTGTAACTTTTAATGGATCTTGCCTACATGGAAATTTTTTTTAATTTGAAAGTGTCTTCAGTCTAACAATCCTTCAGTAATGCTCAGATACATGAATTACAGAATGTATACAAGAGTCCCTGGGTGTAACATGTCCCACATCACCTCATTTCCCATTTTGTAAAACTGCGGTTGCTTAATGGGAAGAACTTAAGTTTTTCCCATTGAATTAAATATTTAATGATCTCGTGGTACCTGTGACCCCATAAGGACCTTTTGGTTGTTGAAAGACTAGACAAACCCAACCCAAATTCTTTTTTCCTTTCATCTACTCTGGATGCAAAACGTGGGGTTTCATGGGGTTAATATTTCTCCCTCTTGCCACGCCATGACACACGCCTGCCCACCCCAAACTGTCGAGCACTCCGCAGCCCGAGGGCGTGATGTTCCAGTAACAACGACAGAAATCCCCCTCTTCAGAGACCAGAATCACCCTTTTATTTAGGGGTGAGGGGGTGTGGAGATTCAGCATGTGAAAATATTTAAAGGAAATTTCCGCTTGCTGAAACGACCCCACTGAAGGTTCAAATCCACAGCCTGTTCTTCTTTGGTCCCCCGCTGCTTTCTCGGCCGGGGCTCCCGGTGAAGCCGTTTATGTAAAAACCTCATACGGGAGCGGGAGGTAAAAGCACACATGCTTTGCTGTGACCTCGGGACCCCAGGTGTACCCCGGGCCCCTCAATAATTGACCAATTTAGGCTTTCTCGGCTGCTGTTTTCCAGTCGGGCCGGTGCCCAGGCAGTGGGCTGGTGTTCGTGTGAAAACGCCCCTCGGAGCCGCAGGCTCTAACCCGACTTTGAGCTCTACCCTTTGATTTGTGAAAGATGAAAATAGCTCTTATTAAAATTCATGTAATTTTGGAGCCATTGAATGGAGGCGCAGTCCAGGTGGGCACCAGGGTGCGGTGGGGTTTGCGGGAGTTCACGCCTTCGCGGCTGCCCTCGCTGATGACTTCTTTCCCTAACGAAGGTGACAGTTGCGCTAGACGGCTTCCAGCAGGGATCTGGTTTTCTTTTGTCATCACTTCTGAGGACGTAGTTTTTCTCTGTTTAGAATTAAAAGACGATCGGTGGAATTCAAAGATTGGCAAACGCCAACTGGAAAAGTCAAATCTGAATTTGACTTTTAAGAGCGCTTTGAACCAAACACTGATTTTGCTCCCTTGTGCTCTGCTGAAGCACTGGCTGCTCCAGCTGTCACCTCTGCCACTTGATGGGAAGATTAAAAGTGAATTCTGCATTTAAATAATTTAATTAATGAGGTTTTAGCTCACGGGTATGAAACAGTTCACCTAAGTACATTAAATATGTAACATTTCAACGACTAACTTGCCAGACTTCATCACTAATTGATAGAATCTTGGTTTTTAATAAACCGTATTGTTGAACTGTTCCAGTTGAAAGTTCTCTATAGGAACTTGCTGATAAGGCTGTAACAGGGTGGGAATGTATTTCTATTGTTCTCAGAGGAAGTAAAATTCAAGAGGTCTAACTGTTCAAGTCACTAAAACCTTAGTAAAATTCTGGGTAAAAGAAATCCGTGTTTTACTATTTTTTTCATTTTTCATTTCCTTCTTAGCCTTAGACAGAGTAAAAATGCCATTTTAGTATCAGGATATGTTTGCTTTTATTCAGAACTTGTACTAGAAATAACTTGCCTGACCCAACAGATGAATGTATATATTATAGTGATCTGTTTGAATTTTAGCATGACTTTTTCAGTTGCATTTCTCATTGACTTACAGTTTAGTAGATTTTATTTTTTGCCTGCATAGATGATTATAGGATAGTAAGACAGATTACAGGATTAAAAAATTCCCTAATAACTTTGGTCTTTCATGATACTGAATTTGATTACATGTTTATAGCTCTCACTTTAGCAATTAATCATAGACCACTTAACTGTTCATCATATAACTGGTTTTACAACACAAAGGTGATAAAAACCTGGGCTATAAGATCATAACATTGTTATAATACCATGAGTCTAGGACTTGATTTTTTCTCAAACTTATTTACTAAAATGAATAATAATGCCTAGCAGACCCTTGTGCTAATAAAGATAAGGATGGTGAGAAAATTAATGCAATCTTCCTTTCTCCCTTATTTTAAATCCTTGTAAATCATGACTTTTTCTCTATGTACAATATGTGTGCATATATACATGTATGTATCTTATATTCTTCTATATAAAGGGCATCATATATTGTAATACAAACAAAAAGGAAAACCATCATCATTGATGATTCTATGTGAATATTCTGGACTCTAGCGAAACTTGGGATACTAACAACAGAATTAGAAAGAGCACTGTTTGGAGAAAGAGCATGGCTGTGTGGGTATGCAGGAGAGTCACACCTGATCTCGCTTTACAGGAAACAAGAAAATCCAGAGATAGTGGTGGACTCTCATGTAGCCCCACTGCCCAAAAAAGACTCTGGAGCCAGAAAGTAGTGTGTCTCCCCAACCCAAAGTCCATGTCCCCAGAATGTATGAATAAGTTACAAGGCAATGAACTTCACAGATGTGGTTCCATTGAGGAATTCAGGAGCAAGATTACTCTGGGTTCTCGAAAGGGATCACTCTGAGCTGGTGACCCCTTGATGACAGATAACCTCCCCTGCTGACTCCAGGGGCAAGAGAGATGTGGTCCTGCCAGAGGCAGGTGGAGGGGGTCTGAGGAGGGATGAAGGAGATGCCCTGGCCCCGGCATGTGGGCAGGATCTAGAAGTTGGAAACAAAACTCGTCAAAGAAACAGGGACCTTGGTTTCACCACATCAAGAACTAATTTCTGCCAACACCTGAATCATCTAGGAAACGCTTTCCTCTAGACCCCAGAAAGCAATGTGCACCCATGTGCCTACACCTGAGCTTGTCTGAACAGTGCCAGTCTTTGATGGGCACTTCAAAGGTAGCAGGTTTGTAGCGCTTGATGCCGCGAAGATGATAGCAGTAGCAGTAAACAGAAAAGTCAAAGTGAGGAAGAGATTCAATTAATAAAGTAGACATGAAATATTTAAGCACAAATAAGCTTTGTGGAACTAATTAGTTTTTACATGAGTAAATTTGTTAGTACAGTGTCAAAGGTTAGTAAGAATTGATGGCTATCTTCCTTGTGTGATCAAAAATTTATACCTAAACCAACACTCAGCCTCTTTCTGCCTCCTCTTCCATTGGGCATATTCTGTATGCATTGTGGTCACCCAGGCAGGCCAGGGAATTGGAACAGACTCCTGATTTTCAGCCTTGCTAGTCTAAGCTCTTCTGTAGACAGCTGGGATGCTCCAAGACCATGGCTGCAAGCTTTTGGCAACCCCACCTTCCAGGGTAGGGCTGGATTGTGACTGCCTCAACCAGGAGACAGTGTGACACTAGGAGACATCTGGACCAGGTTGGTTATAAATGACCAGGTGTTCCTGCCTGGGTCACTCCTGGAGACCCGAGCCACCAGCTGAACGAAACCTCTCCATGGGGGAGGTCACCGGTGGGTCTCCATTGAGAGACACAGCCCCCCTGGTCCCCAGCATCCTGGCCCAGGCTCCGCATATGATGGCACATGCCCAGAAAGCCATCCTAATGCTCTACCCTGCTGCCAGCTGAATTCCAGCAAGTCATTGCTGCCAGCCCCACCCAGAACAGAAGAACCGCCCAGCTGATCCCTGTCCAAATTCTGGATGCACAGGATGAGAATGAGATACGACAGAACATGCTTGTCTCGAGGTCAGCAGTGATTTCAAGTTTATGGATAGTTTTTAAGTAGCAGCAGGTGACTACAAGAATGTTTCATTGAAGGCAATTTCTGATAGTGGCTTCCTCACCCTCCTCGTCAAATGTGTCCTTGTGAATCTTGGCTGCCACTTCAAAAC